AGGAGGTCACACAAAAGACAATGTACAGCTGGGTGCGGTGGCTCACGCCTGTAATCCCAGGGCTTTGAGAGGCCAAGGTGGGTAGATCACTTGAGCCCAGGAGTTCAATACCAGCCTGGCTAACATGGTGAGAGGCCCCCATGTCTCTATAAAAAATACAAAAAAATTAGGTGGGTGTGGTGGCACATGCTTGTGGTCCCAACCACTCAGGAGGCTGAGGTGGGAGGATAACTTGAGGCTGGGAGGTTGAGGCTGCGATTGTACCATTGCACCCCCACCTGGGCCACAGAGCAAGACCATGTCTAAAAAAAAAAAAAGAGACAGAGAGAAAAGATAATTTCCAATGCAGTTTCAGAAGCATGAAAAGAGTGGTGGTGTAGTACTAGAGTAGTGGAAATGTTCTAAAACCAAGTGATAGCTATGGCTGCAAACTTGGTAAATGCACTAAAAGTTCTTGAACTGTCCACTTAAAACAGGTTGAATTTGATGATATATAAATTATCACTCAGTAAAGTTGTTTTTAAAAATGGCTACTATATGTATGAGTGCAGATTCCCTTTAGCTCTAATTTAAAACTATGGTCCTCACCACTTTGCCCTGGGAGCAAAGTGAAGAATGGGGAGAGGAAGTTGGAGAAGTGGGAAAGTATAGGTTGGTCTTGCTTCGGTTCTGGTCTTGGGCCTGCCTTTAAGTGAGGGAAAGCACAGAGAGGTATTGTATATTCCAATTACATCACCACATTTACATTTTAGGTAGGTTTCAAGGAGACGGTCTGAAAGATGGCAGGACTGGAGGCTAGGAGGTCAGTTGTAAGGATATTATAATGGTCTTGGACAGAAATTAGGGAGGTTGGAACCATGGGGGCAATAGGGTAAAAAGGAAGGCATAAGTGTGTGAGTTCTTAGGTACACTTGGCAGGACTTGGTAACTGGTGAGATGGGGATGAGGAGGGAGAGGAGAGTCAGGAAAGGCTTAGATCATAGGAGGGACAGCAGGGGATGGACATGGTGGGTACAACCATGGACATATTTGATTTCAGATGCATGTGACTTCCAGGTAGACATAGCCAACTGGCAGGTACACATATGACTCTAATGCTCTAGAAAGACCCAGGATTACAAGTCTTAGTACAAAGTGGTGTTTGAGCCATAGCAGAGGATGAGATGAGTCACAGTGAAATTGTGAACTAAAAAAAAAAAAACAAAAAACTGGGCTGAGGATGGAACCCTGGGGAAATTAACATTCAAGAACCAGGGAGATGAAGAGTACTTAGAAAAGAAAATAAAGAAGAATGTGAGAGAAACAGGAAGAAAGCTGGGAGAGTGTGATGTCAGAGAGTCAAAGGAGGCTGGGTGTGGAGGCTCATGCTTGTAATCCCACCACTTTGGGAGGCTGAGGCAGGAGGATCGCCTGAGGCCAGGCATTTGAGACCAGCCTGGGAAACATTCAAAAAAAAGAAAGCAAGCCAAAGAGTCACGTTCAACAAGAAAGAAGTAATAACGTCAAAGGTAGGCAAGATTGCAGAAAATAAAGGCTGAAAAGGAGCCCAGTGAATTTGGTTACTGACGTTAGCGGAATAATTTCAAGAGAGGGGAGGGGACATGATGGCCAGGCTGCAGCAGGCCAGGGAATCCATGGTGGGGGTGCAGGAAGCGGAGACAGAAATGGAACAGGCTGTTTGGGGACATCTGGGATGAGGCAGGAAGGAGCACGCACTGCGGCTGGAGAGGGACAGTGTCTACAGAAAGCTTTACTGTCTTGTTCTTAAGGTGGGAGAGATTTAAGCACATTCATGGACTGAGCCACCAAGAAGAAGGGAAATGTCAGCTGCCAGTGGGACCTATGGATGGCAGGGGCTGGAGAGCAGAGGGCCTCAAGTCAGGGTCTCAGGCAGGTACCAGTAGGAAGAGGGTCACTTCATCCTCCGAGATGTGGGGACTAGATGGTGTGTAGCCTGGAGCGAAGGGGAGGAGGCTGAGTGGGTTCTCACCTGTTGGCCTTGGGGGTCTTCATTTTGTTTTGTGTGCGTGTGTGTGTGAAACAGGGCAGGGAGTTCTTTGTTGAAACAACGGGAGTTGGAAGTTTGAAAAGAGCGAAAAGGTTTAAAATTGTGATGATAACAGAGGGAGCTGATGGACAAGTCAATGTGTTGATGTGAGTCATCCTTCATTCTTTTCTTTCCCTCACTCCTCCTCTCCATCTATCAGCAACATGTCTGTTCTGCTTCTATTTCCTGGGCTGGGCCACTTCTCACCACCTCCACTCCTACCACCCTGGGCCAAGTCGCTAGAATCTTTCTCCTGAATTTCGATCACAGTTTCCTTACAAGTGTTCCTGCTTTTCTTCCTGCCCCTTCTAACCCTTTCCCCGTACTGCAGTCAGAGTGACCCTTAATACGATGTAAATCAGATCATACCACTCCCCCGCTTAAACCATCCAATGATTCTCACAGTGATAAGAATAAAATCTAAATGCCAAGCTATGTTTTGTGAGACCCAGTGCGACGCTTCTGCACTTTCCCTGGGTTCATGTGTTCCGGACCTTCTGGCTGCCTTTGGTTTCCTCCAGGCTAGTTCCTGCCTCAGGACCTTTGCACTGACTTTCCTTCTGCTTGTGAAGCTCTGGTGGGATCTTTCCCATAATTCACCGCCACAAGTCAAGTGTTACCTACTCAAAGAGACCTTCCTTGCTTCTAAAGGAGCACTACTTCTAATCCCTTAATCTATTTTATATTGGCCGGGCGCGGTGGCTCAAGCCTGTAATCCCAGCACTTTGGGAGGCCGAGGCGGGTGGATCACAAGGTTGAGAGATCGAGACCATCCTGGTCAACATGGTGAAACCCCGTCTCTACTAAAAGTGCAAAAAAATTAGCTGGGCATGGTGGCACGTGCCTGTAATCCCAGCTACTCAGGAGGCTTAGGCAGGAGAATTGCTTGACCCCAGGAGGCGGAGGTTGCGGTGAGCCGAGATCGCGCCATTGCACTCCAGCCTGGGTAACAAGGGCGAAACTCCGTCTCAAAAAAAAAAAAAAAAAATCTATTTTATATTTTTTATTGTATTTAGCAATAACTGAAACTATCTTATACATTTCTACTTGTGTAAGTTCTTTGCCTGCTTAATCCTAGAATAAGAACTCCAGGAGAACAGAGACTTTGCTTAGCACAAAGTAGGCATTGAATAGATATTGGCTGAATGAATGAATGAAAGGGCAGTATTGAAAGCCCAATGGAGATTAGAAAATGAAACTGCAGGCCTGGCTGGTCGCTCGTTCCTGTAATCCCAGCACTTTGGGAGGCCAAGGCAGGTGGATCACGAAGTCAGGAGGCTGAGACCAGCCAGGCTAAATGGTGAAACCCCATCTCTACTAAAATAAAATAAAATAAGCCAGGTGTGGTGGCATGCACCTGTAATCCCAGCTACTCAGGAGGCTAAGACAGGGGAATCGCTTGAACCTGGGAGGCAGAGGTTGCCGTGAGCCTAGATCATGCCACTGCACTCCAGCCTGATGACAGTATGAGACTCCATCTCAAAATAAATAAATAAATAAATAAATAAAATAAAATAAAACTGCAGTGGGTCAAAGCCATACGGTTGTCTGATTTTCTTCAATGAGGACATAAAATTATAAGATTGATTTTTTTCCTATATGCCTGTTCTGGAGACAATTTCAAACAGGAGCCAGGTAGCAGAGGCATCTTTGTGAAAAGTAGATAGACTCCCAGGATGACCAGTCTGAATGTTTATGTTCTTATTTATTTTGCAGAAATGTCCTCGATTTTCTAGTCTTCATATACGTGGGTCGTCACGTTGTGGGAGGAAATTGCTGACTCTGTTTCCAGCCCCAGAGCTAAGCCGTATTCTATAGGTGAAATCAGGTTACTGAGATAGGTCTGGTTTCCTTGGTGACCTGGGAGGTTTAGTTATATTTGAAATTGCTAAGGAGGAGGAAAACCTGATACCAGTGGTTCTGTGTTTTCATCAGGAAAGGAGCGTTTTTCAATCCTCAGCCCTGGCTGAGAACGTGACTTCTTGATTGGTGAGGGCTGAGGTCCCGCCAGTGGGATGACTGACACTTTCTAGCTGCTCCCAGCATCCCACAACCCAGGCTGGCCAGTTTGTCCCATGCCTGTAATGAGCCACCCAACTCTGGGTGGCTGCATCGGGACTCCTTAAGGTGCCCTGTCTGTTTTGGTTTTGCAGTAAACACTGTAACTAGGACGATGAGCAGTTAGGTCATTGTAAAATGTTGCAAACCACCTTTCTTCTGGTAGGGATGACAACAGAAGGGCGTGCTGTTTTACAAATGGTAGGGCCACCCAGTTAACTCTTTCATGTTTTCTTTCCTTCTCAGTTGGTTTGCCAAATTTAAGCCATAGTGCCACTGGTGCCCAAGGGCTCTATGCAAACACTGAGCACAGTACTTTTACAGTGTTTATTTCATTTTCTTTCTTTCTTTCTTTTTTTTTTTGAGACGGAGTCTCACTCTGTCACCAGGCTGGAGTGCAGTGGTATGATCTTGGCTCACTGTGACCTCCGCCTCCTGGGGTTCAAGTGATTCTCCTGCGTCAGCATCCTGAGAAGCTGGACTACAGGCGCGCACCACCATGCCAGCTATTTTTTTATTTTTATTTTTAGGAGAGACGGGGTTTCACCATGTTGGCCAGGATGGTCTCAATCTCTTGACCTTGTGATCTGCCCACCTCAGTCTCCCAAAGTGTTGGGTTTACAGGTGTGAGCCATTGCACCTGGCTCATTTCATTTTCAAGCTAATATTAGGAGGTGGATATGACCATTATCCCTGTTTGTTTGCTTTTTTTTTTAAACAGATGAGGAAATAGACTCAGAAAGGTGAAGTGGCTTTTGATGTCACATAGCTAATCAGTGGTGGGTTTGGGATTTTAGAAAACTTTTACTGCTTGTTGTATGTTGATGCTGTATTCTGAATTCTCTCCAAATACCGTAAGAGAAGGCAGAAGGCAATTCTTGCTTTCTGCACTTACCTGATACTCAGAGTCCACCTTATGCTGCATGTCCCGCAGATACTGAACATCGCTGAAGAACCGCTGCCTGGCCCTTGCTTCATGCAACATGATTCCTAATCCCCGACCTGCACATAAAAGAGACATACATGTGCTGTGATAAGAGTCCTTTGTTGTGTTGCCATATTTGGATTTATTTTCACGTAATTGCTTTTATTTGCATATTCATCTAATTTCCCTTGTTTGAAAGGCACAGATGCTCCTTTCAGGCTAAAGGGACCTTCTTGTGTTGCTGTTGATGCCCTTACTGTCCTCCTGTTCCAGGCATAAATAATGCAGCCACCTTCATCAGGCATGTCAGTGATCCTGTCCTGTTTACTCCCGGGGAGTCAGATTGACAGACACCTGATTCGGATCTAGAGCATGACACAAAAGAAAGCCCTAGAACCTAGCTAAATTAGCAATGACCAAAGTTACAGGCCCCTGGTTCCTTAAATTCATGTATGCAACAATGATTGCACCCTTATTTTCAACCAGGCACTGTGCTGGGCACTGCAGTATAACAACCAGCAAAGCAGACACACAACCCTCTCCTCTGTATTGCTCTTTTTTTTTTTTTTTTGAGATGGAGTTTCACTCTTGTTGCTCAGGCTAGAGTGCAATGGCTGATCTCAGCTCACTGCAACCTCTGCCTCCCCAGTTTAAATGATTCTCTTGCCTCAGCCTCCTGAGTAGCTGGAATTACAGGCGCCCACCATCATGCCTGGCTAATTTTTGTATTTTTAGTAGAGGCGGGGTTTCGCCATGTTGGCCAGGCTGGTCTCGAACTCCTGACCTCAGGTGATTCACTCACCTCAGCCTCCCAAAGTACTGGGAGTACAGGTGTGAGCCACCACGCCTGTCCTGTGTTGCTTATGATCCAGGGTGCAAGACTGACTTTGAGCAAGTGAATCCAAGCTATGATAGGCACTCTGGAGCAGAACTATGGAGCTCTTTGAGAGCGTTATTACCAGAGAGTATAACTTGGTCTGGAGAGGTCAGGCAAGGTTTTCCTTAGGCAGTGACACTGAGTTTGACAGAGTGAGTTAGCTGAGAAGTGGGACAGAGAGGACAGCAGGTGCAGAGGGTTCAGGCATGAAGGAGCAGGTGCTGATGAGGAAGATGGAAAGGGGAGCAGTGCAGCTGGAGAGAGATGAGGAGGGACCAGCCCCGGAAGGGCTGCAGGGGAGGCAGGGGCCAGCTCCAGTGGGGCCTTTAAGGTCATGATTCAAAGAGTCATGGGAAACTACTGAAAGGTTCCAATCTGGGGAGTAAATAATTAGGTTTGTGTTTTTATTTATTTGTTCATTTGTTAATTCTTTTTCTTAGAGACAGAATCTTGCTCAGCCATCCAGGCTGGAGTGTAGTGGTGTGATCATAACTTCACTGGGTACAGTGGCTCCCGCCTCGCAAAGTGAATCACTTGAGCTGAGGAGTTTGAGACCAGCCTCAGAAATATAGTGAGACCGTCTCTATAAAATAAAATAAAATAAATTGAAAATTAGCTAGGTATGGTGGTGCATGCCTGCACTCCTACTTACTTGGGAGGCTGAGGTGGGAGGATCACTTAAGCCCAGGATTTAGAGGCTGCAGTGAGCCACAGTCACGCCACTGACGCTAACCTGGGCAACAGAGCGAGACCCTGTCTCTTTAAAAAAAAAAAAAATTGTAGTTTTAAAAGATCCTTCCAGTTGTAGTATGAGAATGGATGGGGTGGGGGTGATGGTGGTAGAGTGAAAAACAGAAGTAGGAAGACCACTGGGAAAATATCATAGTACGTAGTCCAGATGTGGTAAGATGGTGACCAGCATCAGGTAGCAGCAGTGGAGAGAAAAAGGAGGAGGAGGGTAAAGGGGAGAGGAGGGGATCATGGCTACTCTTTTTTTTTTTTTTTTTTTGAGATGGAGTTTTGCTCTGTCGCCCAGGCTGGAGTGCAGTGGCATTATCCCATCTCACTGCAACCTCTGCCTCCCAGGTTCCAGCAATTCTCCTGCCTCAGCCTCCCAAGTAGCTGGGATTGCAGACATGCGCCACCACACCCGGGTGATTTTTTATTCATAGCAGAGATGGGTTGTTACCATGTTGGCCAGGCTGATCTCGAACTCTTGACCTCAGGTGATCTGCCTGCCTCAGCATCCCAAAGTACTGGGATTACAGGCGTGAGCCACAATGCCCGGCCCATCATTGCTCTTTACTAAGCCTCTGGAAGGGCTAGGCCTTGTTTTAAGCAGTTACGCAAATTAACTCATTTAATCTTCTCAACCATGCTATGAGGCCGGCACTGCATTGCCATTTTGCAGGTGAGGAAACTGAAGCCCAAAGGGATTAAGTAACTTGCCTTAAGTGACAGAGCTAGTGAGTGGAAGAGTTGGGATGTGAACCCAGAGAGTCTCGCTGCAGTGCCCACACTCTTAACCCAGGGATTCAAAGGGCCTCGGGAAAGAAAGTCTTCAGGGCTTGTGATTATCTGGATGGACCAGGGGGTGGAAGTCTCAGAGGTGGCCAGGTTAGTGGCTTGAGCAGCGAGTGGGTTGGTGCCAGCATTCCCTTCCGAAAACACAGGGGGAGCTGCTCTGTGAGGAAACAGCAGGGCATCAGAAGAGTCTGGGTGCAGCAAATGGAGATGCCAAGCACGCTGTCGGATGCAGGGCTCTGGAGTTGACTGGAGAGGTACAGATTTGGGCATTGCTGGGATTCTGTGATAACTGAAGTTGAAGGAAGAATGGGAATGAAAAGAGAAATAAATGAAAAGGGAAAAAGGACACAGGACAAAACCGTGAGGAACACTCATAGTTAGAAAACAAGCAGCTGAAGAGAAAAGCCAGAGGTAGGAAGAGACCAGGTGGATGCTGTTTCAGAGATGCTGAGAAGAGAGAGTTTCAAAAAGGAGGCAATTAATAACCTTGGTGAGAGTTTTCAGTGGAGCGATGGGGCTGGGAGGGCCGAAGAAGGTTGCGTGGATGGGACGTGAAGGCACGGAGAGCATGCTTTCAATAAGTGTGGCTGTGATTGGCGTGGCCCAAGTTTATGGCCAAAATATTTAAGCTCACAAAGGGATAAAATGGCACTGTTAATATTGACTCTTCACCTATGAGGTCATCAAAGCCCCCACGTGTTCCGTGTGACAAGGAAACAGCAGGGTGGGACAGGCGACATCTCTACCTTCAGGTGTATACGTTCTGTGGCTTTCCTTCCCTCCTCCTGTTTATTCACTTGTAGATATTGGCAGTCAGGCTGCCCCTGACTCACGGTGACCCAGTGTCTGGTCTGGTAGTTACGACATCTGACACGGTTTATTGTTTGGCCCTGAACAATGGGGAAAACTTGTGCAGGTCTCTTGGGGGTTCTTTTCTCTGGAGTATGGAAAGTTGGTCTTTGACAGTCAGAATCTGAAACTACAGCCTAATGTGTAGTTCCAGTCTACACACAAAACCTCAATGCTGTCTCTGAGCATTTTAATAGTCATTTATAGGACTATGTTTTAAAAGATGACTTTTAGTGTTTCATCCGAATGTGTACCTGCATAGAACGAAGTTACACTTTAACTCTTTTCAGAAAACGATGGTGTTAAAACGGCAGGAGGATGAGCCCCTGCTGTTACTGTTGGAAAGAGATGCCTGTCTGAATCTTAATCAGGCAGAGACCATAAGGACTCATAATAAAAACGTTAATGGTCACTAAAGAGGCACATCCCAGAATCCACTTGGATGATACATTTTTGTTACAAAACACAGCCAGTTAATCTATCATGGCTTTAGTGCAGGGTTAATTTAAGGAGGCTTCAAAGTCAAGCGGCATAAAATAACTTTGTCTAAATAGGTAGGAGGTAGCACCCTTTGAATTACTTGCTAAGTTGCCTCTGACTTCACAATCACCTACCAAATAAAGGACTTTAAAATTGCCTACAGGCCAGTGGCTCACCTCTGTAATCCCAGCATTTTCAGAGGCCTGTGGTGGGTGGCTCACTTGAGGTCAGGAGTTAGAGACCAGCCTGGCCAACATGGCAGAACCCCATCTCTACTAAAAATACAAAAATTAGCCGGGCGTGGTGGTGTGCTCCTGTAGTCCCAGCTATTTGGGAGGCTGAGACAAGAGAATTGCTTGAACCTGTAAGTAAGAGAATTGCAGTGAACCGAGATCATGCCACTGCACTCCAGGCCTGGGCAACAAGAGAGACCCGTCCCCAATAAACAAATTAAAAATTAAAAAAAAAATTACCTACAAAATTATCTTTTCCTTTCCATAAACTCTCTATTTCATTGTATTTCACAATATTTAGAAGCATCATGGTGTCACATGTAATTTTTAATTTAAATACATTAAGTCTTTATGAGATTAAACAAATGTGAGAACCAAGAAAACAGGGTATTAGTGATAGAGCAAGATGGTAGGTTACTCAGTTTAAGCAAACATTCTCCATGTTTGCTTGAACTTTATACCACACTCCAAGTATGAGAAACTGACCAGGATGAACAAGAAACAGAAATAACTGTATGGAAATAAATCCACATGAGATAATGCTTAATTCACAGATCTCAGCTTTGTGGGCCTACTCGACCAGATGGCCACTTGAAGCCAAGAATTTTCCCCCAGCAAACAGAGAGTTGGGGCGCGGGTGATAATAAAATGTGGGCAAGGCACATGTTTTTAAAACAGCACTCTGTATTCTCTTCCGTCGTTCACCTTTGAACTGCTTTTTAATTTAAAATCCACTCACGGTCATGCACACTTCTGTTTTAAGCCTTTCTGGTGATAATGTCTTGTGCCAAATTTGTACTTTAGAAATCATCATAAGAAGCCATATTAAGTAGAGAGAGAGAAAGGAGGAGGGAGTTGGAGGCAGGTGGAGAAGGAGGAGTCCTGTGCTGCTGAAGCAAGAGCAAATAATTCTTCTTGGCCTCAAAATTCTATATATCTGTGAAATTTTATGAGGAATATTCTAAGAACTTTGTGACATACACATTCTTCTCTAGCGTAACTTTCCAATGAATTCCAACCAAGTTTTCCTGACTAAGGAGAACAGAATCTGATTGCAGAATGTTTTTCAGTGCCTGAAAAAGTCATGCATACGT